TGAGAGTTGTATGAGCCCCCAGTAAAACGATTAAAAAAAAAAGAATGGGAATTCCAGAACACTTCACTGTGTTCCTCAGGAGCTGATACATGGATCAAGAGGCAGTTATTTGGGCAGAATGAGGGAATGCTGCATGGTTTAAAATCGGGAAAAGTGTGTGTCAGGATTGTAGCCTCTCATCATACTTCTTCATTCTATATGAAGAACAAATCATCAGAGAAACAGGTTTATATGAAGAAGAATGCAGCATCAGGATTGGAGGAAGGCTTATTAACAATCTGTGATACACAGATGACACAACCTTGCTTGAGGAAAGTGAGGAGGAATTGAAACACTTACTGATGAAGTTCAATGTTTGAAGTCTTCAGTATGGGTTAAAACTCAATGTAAAGAAGACCAAAATCTTCACAACTAGACCAATAGGTAACTTCATGATAAATAGAGAAAAGAGTGAAGTTGTCAAGGATTTGGTCTTGCTAGGATCCACAGTCAATGTTGAAGGAAGCAGCAGTCTAGAGATCAAACAATGCATTGCATTGGGCAAATCTGCTGCTGAAGACCATTTAAAGTGTTCTAAAGCAAGGAGGTTACTTTGAGGACTATGGAATGCTTGACCCAAGACACGGTATCTTCAATTGTCTCATTTGCATGTGAAAATTGAACATTGACTAAAGAAGATAGAGAAAGAATCTGTGCATTCGTATTATGGTGCTGGTTTAGAATATTGACAGTCCCGTGGACTGCCAAAAGGAAAACCAACTCTGTCTCGCTAGTAGTACAGTCAGTGTGCTCCTTAGAGGCAAGAATGACGAAACTTTGTCTCATGTACTTTGGATATAGTGCCAAGAGAAACCTGGAGAAGGACATTTTGATTGGTCAGTAAAACAGAGGAAGGCAAACAACAAGATGGATTGCACAGTGACTGCAACAATGGACTCAAAAACATGAGAAAAATTGCATGGATGGCACAGAACTGGCAGTTAGTTTACCTCTGTTGAACCTAGCATCTCTATGAGTTGGAAGCAACCCAATAGCACCTAACACAACAGCAATCAAGGGCATGTACAGAGAATTAACCAAAGATGACACTTGCATGGATAAGAATCACATGAAGAAATGTTTATGATCACTAGCCATCAAAACAATGATGCAATATCACCTTACACCCACAACAATAGCTCAATTAAGAAAAGCAGAGCAACACTTGCTGGAGAAGTGGTGAAGAGGTTGGCACACTCACACATTGTTGATCGGATTGTACACATGTACAATGATTGTGGAAAGTGATAGGGTGCTTCTTGAAACAAGTGGGAATAGAATACCATCTGACTCAGCAATACTTCTGCTGGGCATAAGTACCCCAAAGAAGTAAGAGACAGAACATGAAGAGACATGTCCTCTTCCATGTTCATAGTAGCACGGTTCGCAATAGCAAGAGGTTTCAAACAGCCCAAATGCTTATCAGTTGAAGAATGGATATAGAAACACTGGTATATTCACACAATAGAATACTACACAGCCCTAAAAAATTAGTGATGAAATCATAAAACACCTCATGACATGGATCGATTTGTATACCATTATACCGGGTCAGTACTGCAATGGGAGCTGACGCCTGGCCACTGGTGCGATCTTGCCTGCGAGAGTAATCCCACCCTGCAACTGTGGAACCCTACAACAAGCGGCCACACCACCCCACTAACTTGAGGGAGAGTTGGAATTCCTCCAGACCAATGGACAGGTGATCAAGCCTCAGTTATCGCCTTACTTGCCACTCTATTTCTTCTTTCTTTATTCATTCACCCTTCTATCTTTCCCACCACAGTCAGTCTCAACGAGCTCAGGTTTGTTTTGGTTTTTTCTTTCTTTCTTTCTTCTTTTTCCCCTTTTTTTCCCTTTTCCCCTCTTTCTCCTTTTCTCTCCCTCTCTTTCCAGTCATATGCCACTACTGGCTTCCAGATCACCACCCACCACCTTGGGGAAATCAACCCAAATAGCAGGGGGAACTCCAGCCTGCCCTCTGTGGGAGTGCTGCATTCCACACGAGGCAACTGTGACAGACCTCTATACCGTGCTGCACTGCTGAGGAAACATCCGTCGGACCTCTAATATGATCTCACCAACTAGGGCAATTCCACCCAGCACCACTGGGTCCCTGCATTAAAAGGGCACACCAACCTGCCATCATGGGGCAGGATTTAAACCCCTCTGGCCCCACATTCAGGCAATCAGGGAGAAGTTATCTCTTTATTCTTTATTTCCTCCTTCTCTCTTTCTTCCCTCTTTACCACCACAGTCAATCTTAGTGAGCACAGTTGAGATTTTTCCTATTCTTTCTCTTTCTTCTCTTTTTCTTTCTTCTCATTTGTTCTCTTTTCTTCTCTCTCTGCTTTTATGATTCTCTCCTCTCCCTTTCTTTCCTTCGACATGTCACTGCTGGTTTCCAGACCCCTACCCTTGCCTAGGGCAACAATGGCCACCCAGTGGGGAGAGCTACAGCCTACCCCCTAAGACAGTGCTGCACACAGCACGAGACAGTGCTACACATGGCATGGCACGGGATTCAGCTACCTATTTTTTTTTTAATTTTCCCTCCTCTGCTTTCTTTTTTCTTCTTTTTCTTTCTTTATTTTTGATCTTCTTAAACTTTTTCTTCTTTTCTCTTCTTCTTCTATCTCTTCACTCTTTCCTGTCACAGACTCAGCAGATTCAGTTCTCCTTTTTGGTTTTATTTATTTAGTTGTTTGTTTGTTTATTTATTTATTTTTGCTGTTTTCACTTTTGTTCAGTCTGTGAATTTTAGTTGTGTGTGTGAGTGGGTCTTATTTTGCTAGGCATTGTTGCTCCAGTCTTTGTTATATTCTTTCTGTCAGACTGCTTACCTTTCTATGTAAAGTTTCTTAAAAAAAACACACCCTGATTTGTGGCAAACAGGGGACAGGTTTTTATTTTATTTTTATAATTTTATTGGGGGCTCTTACAGCTCTTATAACAATCCATACATTAATAGATTCAAGTATATTTGTACATATATTGCCATCATCATTTTCAAAATATTTTCTTTCTACTGGAGCCCTTGGTATCAGCTCCTCTTTTTCTCCTACTTGTTCCACCCTCCCATCCTCATGACTCCTTGATAAATAATAAATGATTATTATTTTCATATCTTACACCATCCACTGTCTCCCTTCACCCTCATTTCTGTTACACATTCCCAACTGGTGGGGTGGGGGCATTTACACATCAATCATTGTAATTGGTTTCCTTTTCTCCCCCTTCTTCCCCCACCTTTGCCTTACCCTCATGGTATCGCTACTCCCATTATTGTTCCTGAGGGGCTTATTTGTCCTGGATTCTGTGTGTTGAGAGTTCTTATCTGTACCAGTGTACATGCTCTGGTCTAACCAGATTTATAAGGTAGAACTGGGGTCATGATAGTGGGGAGAAGGAAGCATTAAAGAACTAGAGGAATGTTGTGTGTTTTCTCAGTGCTATACTGCACCCTGACTGGTTCATTCTTACCTTGTGGCCCTTCTGTGAGGAAATGTCCAATTCTTCACAGATGGGCTTTGGGTCTCCATTCTGATCACCATCATTTTCATCGATATGACTGTTTTGGGTCTTCTGATGCCTGATACCTGACCATGTTGACACCTTGTGATCACACAGGTTGGTGTGCTTTTTGGGGGGTGGCTTTGTTGCTTCCTTGCCTCATGGCCACTTATTTATTTTCAAGCCTTTAAGACTCCAGATACTATATTTCCTAATAACCAGGCACCACCAGCTTTCTTCACATTTGTTTATACACCCTTTTTGTCTTCAGTGATTGTGTAGGGAAGGTGAGCATCACAGAATGCCAGGTTATTAGAACAAAGTGTTCTTGCATTGAGGGAGGACTTGAGTAGAGGCTCAGTGTCTTGCTGCTACCTTAATATTTGACATATAAATATATGTACATAAACATATATCCTTATCATTATATTTTAATATATTTACATATATACATACCTATATTTATACCTCTATAAATGCCTTTTGCCTTCTAGTTCTTTCCTCTATTTACTTTTACATTCCTCCTGTCCAGGGGACAGGCTTTGCCAAAATGACAATGCACCTGCTCATGCAGTCATCTCAGTGTGCCAATTTGAGGCAAAAAAAACAGCATGCCTCTCTCTACATACCCCAATTATTTTGTTTTTCTAGAAATCCCAGTCTAAGATATTTAGTACTTAGAGTGATTCTAGAAAAAAATGGTAAGAACGAATTTTCTAAATAGATTTTCAAGTTTGGTTAGTCTCAAAGATATGGATGGTTCTTCTAGGAAAACTGCATGGCATGAGATGATGTTACCCCAAATTTTAGGCCTTTTTCCTGAATCAGAGCATTTCATTAATAATCACTTTGGTGAACAATAGGACATGAAACCGACACAGAAAGTGAAGCCTTTGGGTATGGAAGAATAGCTAAGAAAGAAAAGGAAGTGAGAATTTAAATTACTTCTTATTTTCACTCTCTAAAAAATGAGAACTGCTGCAAACATCTTCTATCCACCTCACCTACCAACGCACTTTTGACCTCACTGCTAGGTATTGGTAGAATGTGGAAAATTCTGGATTATTCACTGCGCATTTCATAAGGTAGTCTTCCTAAGAGCACATGCTCAGTGTGAGACATGATTCCAGAGTTTCATGATATGCAGGGAAACACAAACATTGTTATACCTAAAGAAAGACTGATTGGAGTCTGTGGAGCATTAATATACCAGGATTTCAAGTGAGAAATCCCACTGGGAAAGGCATTTGGATGAAGACTTACCTTTCTTCAGTTAAAAGGGATGAATGTTCTAGATCCTTAAGAGAACGACAGTGGGTTGGGAAACTAAAGGTATTTATTATGAATTTTTCTCAGCATTACAGTAATGGAGAAAACAGAATTCATGTTTATTTTGGGAAGCAAAATAGAAACGATTCTTCACTGATATGATTGTTCTGTACACAGCACTACATAGTGCTAAGCTCGACATCATCGTATCCAAGGTCTTCCCCTTGCCCGTGGACCACTGAGGAAGCTTTCCCGTCCACTTGGGGGTAAGCAGCTTTGCTAGGAGACTGCAGAGAGTCACCTGAAACAAGAAGGACAGTTCTGGTTACAGCAGTGACATAAAGACAGGACGGAGGCCCTTGGTGGAAGGACAGACTGGTACAGAGAGGTCCCAAGTATCTGTGGACACTCCGTGCTTGTCTGAGAGACTAGAACCACCACATACTGCTTGGGTGCTCTGTGCAAAGCCTAGTGCTGATCCTGACAGCTGGTAAGAAGATGTGCCAGTAATGAGAAAGCCTGGGAGAGAGATGAACATTCTTCTTCAATACTAATCTAAACTGATTTTTAAAGAATCAAGGCAAAAATACTTTTCTGTATACCTTACTCACTATACAGACAGTCAACAGACAATCCTTACCTCAAACTATTCATGAGAATGCTCCTAAATCATCAGTCAGATGCTAATGTGCCAACCTGGCCGATAAACACATGTGGGGTTAAGTGAACGGTGGAGAGATAATTGGCTCAGTGAGCCTCGCTTTTCCAGTTCTTGGGTCTCTTGCTTTGTGATGGTAGGAACAGGGTGCAGCTACCTTAGCCAGTTCCCTGCTTCAACTGACAAAGCTCACTTCCTGCAAGACATCCCTGAGGAGAAGCTGCATGGACCTACCCCGATGCAGCCCTGGATGCTGGAGCACCCATGTGGAGACCCCTGCCAGCACTGAGATGCTTACATATTCACTGATTCGGCTTTCCTCCTGCAGTCGGCACCATAGTGTGTGTTTTGTGAGATGGAGGAGGACTTTGTGGATTGGTGTCGGACATATGGGTTAATGTTGGACTTGTGGGCTTGGGCAGCAGCACTGAGTTGGGATGTTTTCTTGATGTGGACTTATCCTCTATATAAAACTCTCTCTTATACATGAGTTTCTGTGGATTTGTTTCTCTAAAATACCTGGGACATCTCATATTGTAGTCCGTTGCACCTCGTGGACCACATAGCCATATCTTGTTCGAAGGAAGTAATACTCTTTATCTGTCCATTGAAATACTTTTGTTTTGTTTTAGTGCTGAGACTTTCAGACTTTAACTGAGGCCACTGTACATTTTGCAATAATACTGGGCAATGCCACCTTAATCTCTAGGTTATATGTTTTCCAAGTGAGACAACTAGCTCAGGCATTCAATTTACCTTGTTATTAAAGAGATTTCTCAGATAATCTCTCACGATCTTCAAAGGTCTCCTATTCATTGTCAGAACGCATGTCCATTAAGGTGTAAAGTAAATGAACAAGAGCTCTACATCTCATTATGCAGACCTTTCCCATTGAGGGGGTGGTAGATATGGAACAGAGGGCACAATGGGACCATGTGAAAGAAGAGATAAATGGCTACAATATTCAAGATTTGGAAGAGTCCATCTCTGGGTGTAGGAAGTTAGCCAGATTGTGACTGTGCAGGAAACAAAAATGAGAACTGGAGAGTCCAAACGGAATGTTCTTCCAACAAAAAAGCAAGACTCTGGAGGGAGAGCGGTCCACTCACCTGCCTGAGACCACCCAGCATCATTTCTCTCCTCGGGGAGAAATTGTTTGTCACTCATTGCTGGGGTAGGAGAAGTTTCAGGAAAAGGCAACTCTTCAGCATCATCATAACCATTTTCAGAGGCATCAACAGGGCTACCTGGAGGTTCTGAAAGCAGGCAAGGATGTTAGGTGGAACAGCTAATATTTGTTGGCCTAAGTGGTATGCTCAGTTTCTTCTAATACAAAGATTCGAGCTGATCCATACAGGCCCCAGATTTCAAAGGCATTCCAAAGGCACATATTTGATCTCAATATATTAGAATGTATTTAGACTAATTATGCTTCTCTACAATGGTTTTTCATATCTTAATACATAATAAAAGTTACTGTATTACGATTTTCAACATACAGTAAATGAGTTGTAACCCATAGTATGTACACATCAGTGACTGAGGGAGGTTGAATGTGAGGTTGCTCCCTGACCTTCTGAGGCTATGAGAGATACACAGTTCTCAGAGAGAAGCCACTTGGGTATCTTTCATACAGAGGTAGGAGACCCCACCAATCCCAGTCACAGAAGTATGACTTTAAATCCCCTCCAGTGCTCTGATGACCTCAGGATCCCATTTTGACAAAGCTCTTCTGGACATACCCCATCCATCCCAAGAGCTAACCAGCTCTACTTCCTGGGGGACACTCAGGGAAAAGTCTCCAGTCTTGCAAAAAGAAGCCCCCAATCCATTGTTTGAGTCAATTCAGACCCAGTGACCTCGTAGCACAGTGCAGAATGGTCCCAAGGTTTCAAGGCTGCTCTCTTTATGGGAGCAGATTGCTGCTGAGCAGCTGGTCCCTTTGAGCTGCTGACCTTGGGGGTAGCAGTTGGAGGTTTAAACACGGCACCACCAGGTCCCTGGCTCTAGCTCTGAGGCCCCATGTCAGCATGAGCTCCTCATGGTTGATCAGTGTAACACTGCGTGCTCCATTTATTCCAGGGCTTTATTACATCAACTTCTCCCTCATCTCAATATACATCTAAACCACCAAATAATCCAAATATCACACTTCCTCAGGTTCAAAAGCATATTTTCGAGTGTTCTCTCATCTGGAATGTTGGAGATTGCTCGTTCTAAGTGTTATTGTTAAAACATAGCCTCTGAGTCGATACCCACACAGTCGATGCACGTCTGTGCTTGAGTAGAAGCAGTTGTGGACACAGAAGCTGAGCTAGACTTTTTCCCTCCTGGGGTCACAGAGCAGGCAGGGAATAAGGCGTTGTTGCACCAGAGATAAGAGACCCTTTCCATCCCAAGCACAGAAGAAATGTTTGGATGGGATTCTTCTTCCACAACCTAACCATCCAAAGACGATCTGTTCCTATTACCTGGAGCAGATTCAGGATCTTCGTCCTCCTCATTGTCCCCAGTGTAATATGGCAGCTTAGTCACTGAGTCATCAGACATGTTTTCTAGTAGGGAAAAAATCACAGACAACAAGCAAAACTTTTCCTACAGAAGGAGGTTTAATGTCAAGTTTCAGAAGAAATCTTGAGTCTTTAGACGAGCAGAGACAGGGGTGGTGTTCCTGCCTGAAAACAATGCTGCCATGTACTGCTAGAGGCTGTGTGCTTCCTGAAGAGCCCCACCGCGATAGCCAGCACGCGGACAGAAGGGAGGACAGGATACACACCTGAGAGCTCCCAATGCTTCCCCTTTTCTGGGTTGACAAGGTAGTCAATGTCCTCATACAAGGCCTCCTCAAGAGCATCTTCAAACTTGTGTGAGTCTGTGGAAAGCAACGAGAGCTCAGAGACAGCCTCTAGATGGTGCACTTATTAACGGGCAAAGCCTTCTGTTGTTCCCAAAGCTCACCCTTGGAGAAACCCCCTGGACTGTCAGGCACAGTCTTCAGCCTGCGCCCTTTTGGGTTAAAACTAGGTCCTACATCTTGGTCTGATAGTCAAGCTCCACTGAAAAGAGTTACTCTTTCTGAGCGTTTCCACACTGGTGCAGGACCACGGATTCAATGATGCAGACCCTGGAGTCTATTGTACAGAAGGTGGATTTTTGCCAGACGATGAGAGTAAAAACTAAAACTTGTGCATTTCCCTTGATCTCACAAGTGGCCCAACACATTGCTCCCATTCTTTCCAGTTCCTTTGGAATTCCTGAGCCCTACCTCGGTGCTCTGCTCTCCGTCTGTGCAGCTGCGTTCCCAGGATGATGAAGACCAGGAAGAGAAGAGCCCCTAGGATGACACAGAGGACCCAAGGCAGGGAGAAGATGCCAGAGTCCCGGGGGGAGGGTGCAATGTTGCCTGGGGAGAGACAAGGGGCCTTCAGACTTTAGAGAGGATCCGATGTCCAGTAGCTTTCCTGAACTCAGCCTCTCTTTCGTCCTTGGAACCAGGAGAGTGTCAGCTCAGGTCACATGGGTTTTCTTGTCCCTCAAAATGTGCCTGACCTAGGAGGGGCTCTTGGTGTGTCACCTGTGTTCTCAATGTGGTTGTCCAGGTTCTTTACATGCTGGTGAACATTAGGGTCCCCATCTTGTCATAACAGGGCAATTAATACCTGACAATGTCTAATTGTGCCAGAAATATGGAAAACTGTGTATTGCGGGTCCTTGAACAATCTGAGTCTCTTCTCTATCACATGATCAGATCCAAAACCACTCACCTCTATTGATGGGAGGAGAGGTTGTCCTCTCTCCTGGAATGAAGAGAAAGAAAATGGGAACACTGGAAAAGCTATATTGTCACATTTATTAATATTCTCCCAGTTCTCAGGAGCCCATATCTGTCTGTGTCTAAAGCCAGCACACAGACCGGCAGGTTTTCCCAGGAAGTGCTTCTGGATACAAACTCTGTCCTCCTTCAACCTACGCTATTGCTCCCAACTCCTGCACTCACCTGAGCACCTCACTCCAGCATCCTCTTCATGCTTGCAGTTACTAGGGCCCCAGGGCTGAGCTGCACAGGCCCACAGGGAGGACTCCCTGCCCCTGCACTGCACATTATCCAGCCAGATGCTCCCATTTCCTGGGCCAAATGCAGCCCCGTGCAGAGCTTCCAGGGCAGAGCCACAGCCCAGCTGCTGACACACCACCTGGGCCTCTGCCAGGCTCCAGGAGTCATCACACACGGTGCCCCAGGAGCCATTGTGCCAGATCTCCACTCTTCCTGAGCACTGGGTGTCTCCTCCCCTGAGGCGGAGCTTCTCTCTGTCTGGAAGCAGGAACACTTATTACTGGCCAGGTGGAAAGCTGGCAACCTTGAGCGGCCATAGTGGAAATGTCTGGGGTGTGAATACCTTTGCAGGGGGCACCAGTGGGACAGCTCTTCGGCTTCTTTCCTGAAAAAATAGGCAATGGGCAAGAGCTGGATTAGGGGGATCTAGAAACAATCAAGTGGTCAGAGGCTTCAATATCAACTTCAACAGGTTAAAAACAGACATACGCTTAAAAACGGGTTGCCATCCTTTCTAACGGGTGAAGTCCCCATGTTGTACGTAAGTAGAACTGTACTTCAGGGGGTTTTGTTTGTTTTTAAGCTTTTTATGGTGGGCTGAATGAAGGTTTACAGAATGAAGGTTTATGGAGCAGTTTTCTGTTCAACAATTTATATACATCTTGTTTCATCTCATTGATTGCAATCTCCACAATGTATCATTAATTATCCTACTTCCTCGCTCTGTTTCTTTTTACTATTCTTTTTTCATTCCTAACCCTCTGAACTTTGTTCTTGCATAGATGCTACTCTTTTGATCTCAAATGATTGATTATTCTAAGATGTATGTACGTCCCTGCGTCCCTGCCTTGATTTCATTTATCTCTTTACCCAGTGGTGGGATTCCGTCAGTCCACGCCAGATGCAGAACCGATTACCTAATTTATTGTTGAGTTGGCAATCTGATCAATGCAATGGTACTTTGGTCAGGGTTCTCTCTAAGGTGGACATCTGGGCAGCCACGCAATGTGGAAATCACAAAATTACATTCCTTCTCTTTTTAACATTCATGTGCCCAACTACTAAGCACCCATAGTAATGTTCATTCCTCCCATAGGTATAAAAATTAGATGGAGCAACGCTTTAATATTTATTTACATTTACTGAAACTCAATATACTTTTAATGATTTTTATTGTCTTGCATCTGTGACTTCAGTAAACAAACACAGAACGTGAAGAGGGAAAAGTGCCAAACAACCAGAGGGTGACACGGTGTCATTCACATCGTTCGTTTCAGCTCTCAATTCCCAGGCATTGAGAGGATCGTGATGCAATTCCTGAAAGTGTTCAAAGAGCTAAAAAGAACAATTGCTGTGAGTTCAGCAGGAGCGAAAAGGGATTTTTCAAAGGCGAACATAGTATGTTCAGAGGAGAGAAGTCGCCTGTTTCAAATATATGGCACACAATGACTCTTCTCTAGCTGGCCTACCTCTAAGGGAATGGGACCCCTCCTACAGAGAAAAGCTGGTTCAGGATAAATCGCGCAGCCAGTGACACTCGGATGAAAGTGAAGGATATTACAAGTGAAGACACAAATCAAGATGCAATATGGAAATATCTTAAATAGCAGTTTTATTGGTTTTTGTCAGGTATTATTTAATATTTTTTCACTAATATTTTAAAACTCTTTCTTATAACATAAACTAGTTTTGTGTACCTCCTTTGCTGTTCTTATTTAAGTATTAACTGTATGAAATAATAAGCTACCTTTCAGTATATCTTTTTTTAATATTTAAGTGAAACCATTAGTTACACTGTAGACTGCTGCTTACAAGCTTTTAAATGGTCATTGGGGCAGTGAACCAGTTGTTAAATTATTTGAATCCCACCACTGTCTTTACAGGACTGTCTATGGTTTGGTTGACAATGGAGCCACAAGAGTGAGCTGATTTCCAGACCTAAAGGGTGACTAAGAGATAGAATCTCAGAGGCTCCAGCCATGTCTATCTTTCTCTCTTTCTGCCACTGACTGAATTCCAGCTCATAGCGACCCTATAGGAGAAAGTAGAGCTGCCCTGTGGCTTTCCAAGACTATAACTCTTCATGAGAGTGAAAAATCTTGTCTTTCTCCCAAGGAACACCAAGTGGTTTTGAACTGCTGACCTTGCAGTTAGCAGCCCATCACATAACCACTACACTATTTGGGCTCCAGCCTACTTGCCTCTACCTGAACAATGAACCTGATCTTTGTATGCGTATAATTTTGACTTTTGTTCCATATCCTTTTCCCACTCTGTCCAGGATCTTCTAATGTGATCCTTTCCAGGTTATGGTAACGGTCTAGTTTGTCTAGTCTCGGGGTCCAAGAGATTAATGTTTTATGGGCCATTAAACTATTAGATTAATTTTTTTCATTTATCATCTTCCCTCCACTCAAGGAGAAACCAATAGTTACACTTGAGACTGCTCCTTACAATCTTCTAAAACCCTAGCCAGCTACTCACTGAAGTCTGGTGTAGGGTTGTCAGGGACTGAGTTTGGGGGATTATATTACCAGACCTTTGAGGCCTTATGGGTAGACTCAAACTACCAATCTGTCTGAAAGCAGCTACATTAACTATTTGCATCACACAAGGACAGATACTACTGTTCTTTTTCCTTTAGTTTTTTCTTTCCTTTTTTTTTTTGTTTGTTTGTTTGTCCATGGTTTCATCAGTTCAAGAAAAAAATAAATTCTCCTTTAGCCAGGAAAGCAAAATGAATTTTGGACTAGAGTCCTGACTTTATGGCTAAGGTGGATTTGACCACAACGTAGCATAATTGAAAGTGAAGGCCCATCTCTAGTCTGCCATATTCTAGGTAATAAGATCCCATCAACAGATTTTGTGTTTTCACCGCAATGCACAATCAAGATACTCGTGTCTCTGTTTAGACCCAACTGTGTTTTAATACGTTTATGACTAGGTTAGATTATACTTTAAATTTTTTACTGCTACCATGTGTTTCCAGTAATGGAAGGTAGTCAGAATTGGGGGTAAGGGGGGGATATTTTGAGACAATATAGTTTTGGATGCATTAAGTTGGATACATATGTCTCAAGTGGTTGCTTTGGGTACAATTAGTGATGTGGGGTCTGTTTCTTCAGAGTTGTGCAGTTACAAGTCTAACCCAGACATACTGCCATTGGGACAGGAGCTTTTCAGGAAAGCAGGGAAGCTGAAGATGATAGTGATCCATGCATGCCTGAATTGTCTAATTTCTCAGAAACAGATATAAGATTCAAGAAGTCAACATCTTAATGTATAAGTGCATTTTGTTGGCTTAATCTGACATTTAAGCTATACAATTAAACAAACGCAAAAAATGGTGGTATAGTCTACCCAAGTTCAGATAACTAATTCACCTTCACAAACGATGTGAGCTACTTCATTTGCAGAGCAGGATCTGTGGTTCCAGGGATCAGAAGGGCACTGCCACAAGGTAGGGTCACTTTTCTGACACTGGATTCCAGCCAGCCACCGGGGCTGAGAGCCTGTCCTGATTCCAGCAGAAATATTGAGCTCACCAGTGTTCCCACAGCCCAACTGCCTGCAGATCACAGCCAGAGTGATGCGCTCCATCGGGCTTCTGCAGACGCTGCCCCACGTGCCGTTGTAGAAGACTTCCAGCCACCCGGCACAGTCGTGGTCGTCACTCACCAGCCTGAGCGCCAGAGACTCTGGAAGTAGAGATGGGAAGAATGAGGCCCTGGGGTGCAGGGTGACTGACCTTAGTGCTGTGATCCTTCATTGTCAGGAGATGTGACTGGTGATCTCAGACGCTGCAAAGGACTCTTCTACTTTGAAGGAGTTTATAACATCCTTTCTGATCCCTTTTCTTAATCGGGGTATGTCTGCCTCCATTTGAACCCTGCAGTCTCTCATTATCAGGACTGGAATCATTGTGGCAAGAGGAAGCGGTACTTCTGAGAGATATACACACCGATACACGCAAGATTACAAGCCACTTAGATAGCTCTTTTTACTAGGTCTAAAATACAAGTGCTGCTTGTGTTTGGATAACTTTGGAAAAACCTACCTTTGGGAAGGAAAGCCCTGCCAAAAAGAAACCCCTCATTCAGAGCTACTTGAACCGCAAGGAGCCCAGCAGAAAGCCTCTTCCACTCCAGCTCAATCAGCTCAAGCTCCCCAGGGACCCAGACCCCCACCTCTGGGGTGCTCCATGTGGCTTCCCCCAGGATGCAGACACAGGAGAGCAGACCTGAGCAGATGGCCCCTGCGTCTTCCTTGTGCCTGCAGTTGTGCTTCCTCCAGCCCTGGGAAGGGCACTTCCACACATGGGACTCCTCCCCTGTGCACTGCAGACCGTCCAGCCAGATGGGTCCCGTCCCTTCCCCAAAGTGAGCAGAGGCAGTGGCATTAATGGCCACTCCACAGCCCAGCTGTCTGCACACCACATGGGCATCCTTCATATCCCAGCTGTCATCGCAGACGGTGCCCCAGGAGCCCTGGTGAAGAATCTCCACTCTCCCAGCACTGGGACTGCCCCCGTCCACCAGGCGGAGCCATCTGCTCCCTGGGGAAAGAAGGACATGTCAATTAGGAACTTAGGCAGGAATGAGGAGAGGTCTGCTGCTGTGGGGCCTCCCCTGAGTGGTTGGCAGCTCTGTCCTCCAAGGCCGCGGAGTCCGCTGGATGAGATGTGGAGTTGTTGCCTGGGAGCAGAGGATGGGTCTGCTTTCCTACAAAAGGCACAGTGCTCAGTAGGACCAACAACATTATTGGTAGGGTTCCGTGCAAAATAACATGTGAGCTTCTTGCTCAAAACTTATTAAGCTTTCAAAAAAGTAACAGAAAAGCATTAAAGTAAGTGGAGGTCATGCTAAGGCACAGACCACATCCCCTGAGCTCAGCTCTGATGTTCGTCTCCATGAACATGAGGTTAGACACATTAGAGCTTAAGAAACACAGTCATTACAACTACTGTACTCAACAACCCACTGTCACTGAGTGGCTGCTGACTCAGAGCGACCCTATGATGCAGGGTGGAACAGCACCTGTGGGTTTCCAAGACTCGAACTGTTTGGGGGAGTGAAAAGCCCCATCTTCCTCCCAAGGAGGAGCTGATTGTTTCGAACTGATGACCTTGCAGTTAGCAGCCCAACGTTTCACAAGTACAGTGAACCCTCGCCACTTCGCGCTTCGGCTTCCGCGGCTTCACTCTATCGCGGTTTTTGCGTAACAGCGCATGCTCTGTCATTACTGCCACTGATTGTACTGTACACTGTACATGCTTGATGCCATAAATAATATAATAAATAATAAATGATAATTGTAACGTCCAAAATGTTTTACTGTATTTTCCCTTTTTCGTTTAATAAATTGGGTAATACGAGTGTACAGTGAACCCTTGCCACTTCGCGCTTCAACTTCGCTGCTTCACTCTATCAGTTTTTGCGTAACAGTCATATCAAGAAGAGTTGTACCATTAGCATCGCAGTCAATTCCAGAACATTTTCCTCTTCCTTGTACTCATTGTTATTCATGTAATTATATTTTTAATTGTGGCAAAAATATACACAACAAAACATTCTTCAAATCAACCACTTCTACATGTATAATTCAGTGTCGTTGATTATACTCTTCATATTGTACAACCATTATTAATATCCTTTTCCAAATTATCCCACCACCATTGGCATACATTCAATGCCCCCTAAGCAACAACTCTTCCTCCTTCACCCATGCTAACCATTGGTCAAGTTCAAATTTCGTTTAAGAATCTTCTTGATACAGTATTCACATATCGTAAACTTCCATGGTTAAATCACTTTTTTTAAAGAGTTGTATATACATCATCACAATCCGTTCTAGTGCTCCCTCCCGAATTCATTGTTTGCTCCCCAAATTCCCTTATCCACCCCTCACTCCCCAACCCCCCTCCAAATCCCTGATCAACCCTTGCATCAGTTATTGTCTCCGTGTGGTCACTCCTTCTTGCTTCAAAACTGGGACACCCAACAGAAATAATAAAAGACAAAAAGAAAATGGCAAGAAGAAAACAATACTCTAAAGATAAAAATATAAATAAAGAACAGGAAAGAAAAGACTACCATCAATATTCTAAAAGCCAGAAAACAAATTTCTGTCATGGGACAAGCAAGGAATATTTATGCCTAAAGCAAATTCAGGTGGGGTCAAGAGGGAGGTCAAGTGGCCAAGTATCAAGACTATTGATCTTTACAGAAGTAAAACATCTTGTCTTTCTAAGCTGTGGGACGAATGTTATGTTACCTCATTTATATAAAATTACAAGAATAGGCAAACACAGAGATCAAAGTTCCTTACTAGTTGGTAGAAGTGAGAGGAAAAAGAAGTGCTGCTGCTTGTGAAGCACTCAGTTTCCATTGATGATGGATCACACTGATTAAGGGTAGGTTTTCATAGCTGTTTACTGTACTTGCTGTCAACACATCTCCCATGTATCTGTATATGGGAGATGTCCCCCATCCTAACCCACCACACCAGGGTGAACACGAAGGGTGTACAG